AAAATTGAAAGCCATCATCTTAGTCTGTCATTTATGTTGATTAGAATTACAAGGCTTTTTTTTGGTAAGAAAACTAATTTCTTTACGGTGTATCCGTGTTATCACAAAAACATTCCCTTGGTATCATAACTTAACTTTCTATGGTTAGAAAATTGATTGATTTATTTCCAATATTTACTCATAATTCTTAATTGTATGCGTCCTGTTGATTGACCTGGAGATTGTTGGGTTTCTATTATTGTTGCCTTGTTGGTTAGTTTGTTAGTTATGGGAGGAGAGCTGTTCCCCTTATAATGAGCAAAAAGAACTTCTGTGTCTATTACTTTTTTTATTGACATTGATAATCCTGGTAAAGCTCCAGGAGTATTATTGTTTCACCATTTTAATTGTTTATTCTAGAATTTGCTATCTTCATCATCTGAAGTTTTGCTCCACCTGATTATGAAGATTGTACAAGCTACATTGAACAAGGATGTTGGTTATGATTTTGCTGTTGATATTTGGAGCCTGGGTTTTACTATCATTGTATTGTTTACTGGAAAACGTCCTTGGAGTGGACTTGAGGTGGTAATCCTTCTCGACTATGAACACAAAATTTTAATTTCTAGTGAAGTCGCTTGGTTCATGCAACTTCAACTGATGAATTCTCTACAACTTCAAATTTTTAATGAAGTCTACATATTGAAATTCAACTTGCAGAAATACGCTTAATAAATATCCATATTATTAATACACTATTTTTGAATGTCATAATTTAAGAATATGGACCTTTTAGTGAACTACATTCATGAACCCACGTTGCAAAAGTTTGTTTTATAATTTGTTTTAGTTGGAATTTTATTTTTGCATTATATAATGATATGCATATTCTGCTCGGCATGACTGTCTTACAGCAAAAATGCAAATTAACGATGATTTTCTTGAACTATTTTTTAGACTAGGTGGAAAAGCCTTGTAACTTCGAGAAGAGGAGAAGAGGGAAGGTCCATATGGGATTTTAGAAGAGAGAAAGGGTGAGGGAATATATGCGTGTGAGAGATAAATGAGTAGGTTTGTTGAGCAACTAAAGGTTTTCATTCAAAGCATAATGAAAATACAATACCATCGTTTTTAGATGTGAAGGTATCTGAAACCATGCCCAAAATCCTTGTCTAATAAGGAAGGACTTAATATGTATTTATTATATAAACTAGATATGAAACATAAAATGAACATGCTTATATGTAAAATGGGACATGACACATGGTTTTTGTGATAATCTTGATAGAAAAAATTGATGGCTTGGAATGATTTGCATTAAAAAGCTTTTATCTTTATTTATATTCTTTAGAGCCAATGCCATGCAATTTTTTTAGATCATTGTATAATTTATCTCATTATTTTATATATTGTCCTGAATTGAATAACTGGCATGTTATCTTGAGAAAACCTGCTTTCTAAATTAGAGTAGTATTGGATTTGCCCTGCTCTACAGAGAATTTTATGCTTAAGGTCTATTAGGTCATTAGTAGAAGTCACCGACATTTTTAGCCTAACTGTCACATGCTTTGCTTGGTTTTGTGCAACTAATGCTACCATAGAAAGATATGCTAGGGTTTTTAGGGTATTTTGGGTGTAGTTTTAGTTTTTAAAGGTTTAATTTAGAGTTGAATTAATTGACCTAAGGTAGTCCACTACTAATCTTAGGCCACTAGGAAATGTCCTAGGATCCTTGGGTGGCTTCTAAGTAAATTTAGGATCAACTAGACCATGGGATTATTCATCTTAACCTAAGGGCCTACCTAGGGGTACTTTTAGGTTTGGCTTAAACCTAATACAAATGAGTATGTAAAAAGTTGATAAGGCTTTCAATGGACTTGGGAAGGTATAGCGTTGGCTCCAAAGGGTTTTAGATTCCTCTTGAGGCAAGTTAGGGTCACCCAAGGACCTTAGGGTTTCAAAGTTTTCTATGATTATGCGATACTAAGTCCTTAGGATTCCACTTATGAGGGTCATATGAGGTAGGAAAATCACCTCTTTGCAAATTCAGGAATGAAACCGTGTTCGTTAATTTCTTTTCAAATCTTGTATCAGCGGGATTGTGAGAGTACCTGGGTATGCAATTTAAGTATACTTGGTTTTATGGTTTAGCAACTAAAGAGATTTTGCAAGCAAGGAGATCTATCAGAATGTAAAATAGATATTAGGAAATAACTTTGTTGCTCGAGATCCGTGATATGGATGTAATAGTATTTAATATTTTTTTCTATTTATTTATTTATACAATATAAAAACTATTTGATGTAGGACTACAATGCATGCAATAACTTGAAAAGAACTTGCATGATTTATTGATTAGAATAATAACAATTAGAACTATTAGAAAATAAAAATGATAAAATAAAATGTAAGAGCGGTCACTTCCGTTTAGGCCAAGTTGCACATCAAGAGCATTGAATCAACAAAATAACATAGGAAATCAACATAATGTAAACATAATAGCTTTCAACGAAAATCCCTAATCTAACAATAAGATTAGAAACAAATGAAGTGCACTCAATTCACTACGTTTACTAAGCTTGGAAGAATTAGGAGAACACGATCGTCATGACTAAAATCAAATCCCAAGGAAGAGGATTAGACTAAGGAAATACAGGAAGAGGAAGATTAGAAGACCTTCATTAAGGATCAGATGTAATCCTCCACTGAACGATTCCAAGTTGCTCTTCAATAGCCTTAACCATACGTACTCTTCTATGGTATAATTGATAAATGGATTAAAGTCGAAGAAGGTCGAATGTAGGATGCAAACAAATCCTTGCTCGTCGTAGGTGAGTCAGTAATCAAGTTCCGGATCGACCATGCATTGAACTTGTAGCGTGGAGGTGCGGGAGGACTAGTCTCTTGGTTGCCTTTGTTGTTTACCTTTTGAGAGAGAGGGAGTTCTCTCAAAATTTAAGCATGAGGAGGTAAGAGAGGTAGCTGGCCAAGAGGAGGTGGTTTGAGAAACTTAACTTCAGGTTGGAAAAGGAGAAGTAGGTTAAAAGGGAAATAATTAATTAAAAACCTGAAATAAATTTTAGATTTTTAATGGGGGGGGTTGTGAATTAGGAATCAAATTTGAATTTAATTCCTAGAGGAGAGAGGGGTTAATGTAGAGAGAGAGAGAGGGGATTGGAGAGAGAGAGAGAGAGGAGAGGCGGGTAGACTGAGGGGGCCGACGGATTTATGGGGATGGGAGAAATTAATGAGGTTTTAATGCTTCCTTAATTTTGATGATTAGATTTGGAAAGAAATAATTCATTCTAAAATAATTTAAAATCCAATGAGGAGAGATTTGAAAACTTTCCCAAAATAGATATTATAATTTAGGAAAGATTTTAAATTTCAAGTTGGGTGAATTTGAATTCAAAATCTGTTTAAATTATGACAATCAAAATTAGGAAGTAAATCCATGAGTAGGCACGAGGCTAGGACCGATAGCTTGAATGGGGCTCGGGTAAGGGAACCGGTGACTAGGTGGAGGCGGTTTAGAGAATTCGGTGGGGATGAAGAAGGTGTTTGGTGTTGATGAAAGTTTGGACAAGGAGATGGAAAGAAGGTACGGCCGGTGGTGATAGAGGGAGGAAAGAAAGAGATAGAAGGTAGAACCATGAACCTGACTCATTTAGGTTGGTGGGTGTTGAACAATTCTCCCTCTCCTAGGGATCTCACTCCAATATCTCTAGCTCTCATGAGAATTCAAATAAGAGAAACAATTTTCAATTAATCATCCATTACCTTTAAAAGGAGAACACTAAAGTAAACCCAATTTTCTTTTTCTTTAATTTAAGATTCTTCCTTTCCGTAGGATTAGATGTTCTAGTTGTGCATAATATCCTTCGTGGCACCATACTAGTTTAATTCAGTTTTCTTTTCATTTAGGTTAGATTGTTAGAATTCTTCCTTTTCTTAAGATTAGATGTGCTAGTGGCGGACAATGCCCTTCTGACACCATACTAGTTTAATCTAGTTCTCTTTTTCTTTTAAGTTAGGGTTCTTCATTTTTATAATACAATATTTTTTTTCTTTTAGGTTAAGATTCTTTTTTTCCTTAGGATTAAACGTGCTAGTGGTGGACATTTCCATTCGTGGCACCATCCTAGTTTAATCCAATATTCGTTTCTCTTAGGTTAGGATTCTTCCTTTTCATAGGATTAGATGTGCTAGTCGTGTACAACGCCCTCCGTGGAACAATACTAGATTAATCCAGTTTTCTTTTCATTTAGGTTAGGATTCTTATGTCCCTTAGGATTAGACATGCTAGTGGTGGATAATGCCCTTTTTGGCACCATCTTAGCTGAATCCAATTTTCTTTTTATTTAAGTTAAGATTCTTCCTTTCCATAGGATTAGATGTATTAGGGGGGTGGACCACGCCCTTTATGATACCATCCTGATGTAATCAATTTTTTTTTTCTTTTAGGTTAGTATTTTTTCTTTCCTTAGGATTTGAAATAATAGTGATGTACCACATCCTTCATGATATCATCTTAGTTTAATCCTGTTTTATTTTCCTTTAGGTTAACATTCTTTCTTCCTTAGAATTAGTCGTGGTAGGGGTGAATAACGCCCTTCGTTGCGCCATCTTAGTTTAATCAAGTTTTCTTTTCAATTAGGGTAGCATTCTTTCTTTCCTTAGGATTAGACGTGCATGTGGTGGATAACACCATTTGTTGTACCATTCTAGTATTATCAAATTTTCTTTTCCTCTAGGTTAGAATTCTTACTTTTCTTTATGATTAGATGAGCTAGAGGTGGATAACGCACTTCATGGTACTATCCCGGTTTAAACCAATTTTTTTTCCCTTTGTGTTAGGATTTTTCTTTTCCTTAGGATTAAAGGTGCTAGTGGGGGATAATGCCATTCGTGGCATCATCCTAGTTTTAATACAGTTATCTTTTTCTTTTAAGATTCTTTTTTTTTTCTTCAGGATTAGACGTGCTAGTGGTGGACAATGCCCTTTGTGGCACCATCCTAGTTTAATCCAATATTATTTTTATTTAGGTTAGGATCCTCCTTTTCGTAGGATTTGACGTGTTAGTCATGTATAACACCCTTCGTGGAACCATACTAGTTTAATCTAGTTTTCTTTTCATTTAGGTTAGGATTCTTCCGTTCCTTAGTATTAGAAGTGTTAGTAGTGGATAATGTCCTTTGTGACACCAACCTAGTTTAATCCAGTTTTCTTTTCCTTTAGGTTAGGATTTTCCTTACCTCAGGATTATACATGCTAGTGGTGCCTTTAGCACCATCATAGTTTTAATACAATTTTCTTTTCTTTTAGGTTAGCATTCTATCTTTCCTTAGAATTATATGTGCTAGTGGTGTATAATGACATTTGTGGTACCATCCTTGTTTAATCCAGTTTTCCTTTCTTTTAGGTTAACATTTTAACTTTCGTAAAGTTTATATGTTTAAGTCATGCATAATGCCCTTTGTGATACCGTTCTACTTTAATCCAATTTTCTTTTATGTAGATTAGGACTCTACCTTTTCGTAGGAGTAGACATTATAGGGGTGGACAAAACCCTTCAATATTCTATTCATGTACAATGTCCTATGTGGCACCATACTAATTTAACTAAGTTTTCTTTTCATTTAAGTTAGAATACTTTCTTGCATTAGGATTAGATGTGCTTGTGGTATAAAAATGCCCTTTTTTGGCACCGTTTTAATTTAATCTAGTTTTTTTTTCTTTTAAGTTGGGATTCTTCTATTATTTAGGATTAGTTGTGCTAGTGATGGATAACGCCCTTCGTGGCAATATCCTACTTTAATCCAATTTTCTTTTCCATTAGGTTAGGATTATCTTTTTCATAACATTAGACATGCTTGTGGATGAAACGCCCTTCGAGGCAATATCATAGTTTAATTTAATATTCTTTTCCTTTAGGTTAGAATTATTTCTTTCCTTCGAATTAGACATGATGGTTGGGGATAACGCCCTTCGAGGCAATATCATAGTTTAATCAAATTTTATTTTCCTTTAGTTTAGGGTTTTTCCTTTTCTTTAGGATTACATATGCATGTGGATAATGTCCTTAGTGGCACCAACCTTGTTTTAGTCAAGTTTCCTTTTTCTTTAGGTTAGGGTTCTTCTTTTTCTCAGGATTAGACGTGTTAGTGGTGGATAACACCCTTTGTGACACCATCCAAGTTTAAAAATAATATTCTTTTCCTTTAGGTTTGGATTATTCCTTTGCATAGGATTAGACGTGTTAGTGGTGGACGATGCCCTTCGTGACACCATTCTCGTCTTTTACAGTTTTTCTTTATTTTAGGTTAGGATTCTTCATTTCCTAGGATTTGACGTGCTAGTGGTTAATAATGCCCTTCGTGGCACCATCCTAGTTTAGTCCAATTTTCTTTTCCTTTTGATTATTATTTTTCTTTCCATATGATTAGACATACTAGTGGTGGTAACCTTCTTCTTGACACCATCCAAACTTTAATCCAGTTTAATTTTCCTTTAGGTCAGGATATTTCA